AGGAGGACGTGCATTACTACATAGTAAGGCCTACGAAGCTGGGGTGACCAACAGCGCGAGAAGCTACTGCCAGGGTAGACGAATTCACCACGGAACAGAACAGAAAGCCAAGAAATAAGCACATGCACAGAGAGAATTTATTTTTTATTTCAAAACTGTCATTGTCAATCAGCAGGGATAAAGTGTTGCTCTAGGCCAACTGGTCATCCGTATGGGAAAACATGGCACTAGGTTTTCCCCTCACACCATGCAGAAAAATGAACACCAAATGAACGACCATTCATGATAAAACAAAGCTGTAGCTGATCTATCCAATACAAGAGTCAATACCCAGAAGAGGATAATTAAATTTAAACATAAATTAATTAAAACTAAATTAAAAAATTTAGCTCCTCAGTCACACTATTCACATTTCAGGTGTTCAGTAGTGACATGTGGCTAGTGGCTACTGTACTGGACAGTGCTAGATATAAAATATTTCCCTCAGTGTAGAAAAGCCTATTGGACTGTGCCAAGAGACATTTAGGATAGTATCTTTATGACCTTGGGGTTGGGAAGGATGTATTAAGCAAGAAATAACAAATAAAAGAGATTGAAATAATTGATAAATTCAACTATGAGAATTCAGAACTATTTATAAAAAGACACTATACAGAAAATGAAAAAGAAAGCCTTAATCTGAAGGAAGGTATTTGTAATACGTACATACATTATCTACAGGATATATAAAGAACCCATATAAGCAATAAAAAGATAAGCAATCCCATACAAAAGTGGGCAAAAGACTCGTCAGGTACTTCATTCTATTTGATAACAGAAAAAGACAATTACAGTCTGACTTATTTTATCTACTGTATAATAGATTGAAATGTTTGACAAATTTCCATATTCTATTTTAACTCACCAAGATTAACAGGGGAACAACAACCTATTTTTCAGCCTGGAAGGAAGATTATACTGGCTTAGACAGCAGCCCAGCAACATATAAGTAGGTTGATAATAATGTTTGAACATGTAATTAAATAGATACTTCTAATGTTAGCTTATCCTTCATTAAAAGACAGTTTTCTAGCTCACTTAACAATTTATCTTCACCTTATTTTGAGGACACAATAGAGTACTTTGGAGGCACACAGTCCATGTTCATAACCTTTTCAATCTGACTGTAGAATTTGCTAGTGACCAAGGCATTAATTTCATATTCACTTCAATCAGAATAATGAGAGAACACAAAGGTGTGTGTGATTGGAGAGTGGAATGGAAAAAGCAGATAAAGTTATAAACATCTGAAGAAGTACTGAAAATAACACTGAAATGCATAGTTTCCTCAAACAAAGACAAATTTCTATCCCTGAATTAACATGAATAGATATTACTTTGTGCCCCATCAGCTCCCTTATCCAAAAAGAATGTGGGCAGGACAAAAAACAAATCATCCTTTCCTAGCTTGTATATAGAGAAAAAAAAGGTTTCATATTTTAAAACAAATTTTAAAAACTAATTTTTATGTACCTTAAAATGTGAAACAAAACTACACGTACACCACATATCCACATGGTTGAATTTGCACTAAATCTTAGTTTTAATCAAATTCTAAGAGAAGCATTAAAGGAATTTCAGCCTTTTATTCTGACATATTTTTAAAAACTAACTATATTAAACAGCTTCAAAATAATTCACCAAACAGCGACACATGGTAGTTTGATCACACTCAGACAGGGCAATGTGAGTATGAGCCAATGATTCTAGGAGACTTAATTTGTCAGAAAGAAATAAACAATGGGGAACACTGTGTGGATCCCAAGAGTTTATGACTTGATTTCACCTTTCAAGGTCCTTATAATATAAGAATGAGAGGAGAACAATTAGTAGCTTGGCAATTCTGGTACAAGGTGAACAGTGTCAGATGAGCTGCACAGACAATGAGACATTCAAGTCAGACTGAAAATTAGAGGACATATGACAATTGCTAGTAACAATGAGGAAGAACCCATACCATGAATCAGGATCATGGCCCAGCGGATGGAGAGTGCACAATGCACGACAGCCCAAAGTGCAGGCAAGCCAGAAGGCATCAGACATGATCCACTCTAGGGCAGCAAGACTTCAGCTCCTGGGCTGAGGTTCAAGGACTCCTTGAAGGAGTGCCAAGGAAGGGGACTGTAAAGAAGATGGCAGTGCCCCAGTACTCAGAGAGGACTGGGGAACCAGAGATTTCTATAATCAATAATCAGAGTGTGGAGTCAGTCACACCCTAATAACAGAAGAATATGTGTTTGGGAAATTCAGGCGCATGAATGCAGACACGCGACTCACATTCTAAGAAAAAAACGGGGTCAAGACTTTAGAGAACAATGGTGGAGATCTATGGTGCACCAAGTCTTAAATCAGACTTGTTTTGGGGAAACACTGCCAAAAACTAAATCCTCCAGTTGTCAGTAAGTAAGGGGCACTCCATTCTGGCCCAGTCTCACCACTTCCTAGGATCCTAGGCAGAGACCGTTTCATTATATATTCTGTCTCTAATCAGATTGGCCTGCCAAACCAGATTATGTCTAGGCTGGGCTTGTAAATACAATCAGTGGGCCAATTTTGCATAGCTAAAGCAAGCAGATGAAAGCCATAAGCTCAGACAATGGTGTGAAGGGTCATTTTTTAAAAACTAATATAAGGGTAATAAAAACTATTTCTCCCAGTTTGAAGAGGGTGAACTTTCGTGCATAATTTTCTGTTTCTGATTAGTAATCCCATGTGCTTTCCCTTTTTAGGTGTATTCTTATTGTACATCTGATTTCTCTTCCTCACAAATGCTTGCCTCCTACTTCCTTCTCTGCCACACAGACTCTTACTCATTTTCTCTTGCCAATTTCCTATTTTCTGTCCCTTGCAAAGGAAACACGCATCCTAATTCTATCCTGTTGTCACAGGGGTAAAAGTGCAGACGTTGTTCTTTTTGCAAACCCAAGAACAGGAAGTGACTAAACAGACTTAGTCATCAACTTCCCAGGCTAATGAAAATGTCAGGAGAAATGTTGTAACTTCTTGAGCACCCCATGGAAAAAACTGTGTTCTAAACCCAAAGGTAAGGCCACTTGGTTGATGTTTGCCTCCTTAATACTAATTCTAAGGCAGACCATATTGTGCTGTCTTCATATGCAATCTCGCATAAACATACCTCATTATGAGTTCAATAATTACTTGGACTTTTTTCAGAGGAAAGTGTTTTTATATGAAGCAGTAGATAATTTCCAGGTTGACTTGTTTTGTTTTGTATCAAGAATTCCAACAATGAATCTATAAAATGCAGAGTTCTTTATGTAGGCAAAACTTAGAAGAATATAAATAAGCAAACCTTTTTCCTAGGCAGGGATCTACGGTTGCAAGAAATCAAAATCCACTCAATGTAACTTTAGGAAAAGGGGAGGGGAAAAATCAGTATCAACACAGACTTCGAAGGCAGACCTAAAGTGTTGTCAGGCAGTTGCCCTCTGTCTATATAAGGCCCTGATGGTTCAGGTGCTAAGAGTGTGACCTAAGTGTTGAAATGTGGAATCTGGGGTTAAAGTGTCTAGTCTCAAACATTATCTCTATTATTTACTAATTCTGTGAACTTTGGACTCACTTAATGACAGTGCCGTGGTTCTTTTTCTGTAAAAAAAAGTAATAATGGGACCTATTGTTAAGTGTATGGATTAAACAAGATAACACATAGAAAGTGTTTAGGATAGCACCTGAGACTACAGGCACTTAATAAATGTAAGTCATTATGACAACATTATTATAATTGCTTGTTTTGAGCATATGCTCCACTCTCCTCTCTGGCAGCTTCTTCCATTTGTACATACACCAACATAGCCACCAGCTCAGAGTTAACGATACAACTTCAGTGCCCACCGCTTCTGATTTACTCATCCCGTGTCACGTGATGTACAAGGGCTACCTTCACTAGAGCTGTAGATGGGGACAGGTTCCTGTAGTCTGTCAGCAGGGAGTCAAAGACCTGCCTTTCTGGTATGAATGTGGCCAATTCACAGATTAATTAAAATATAAAGAACACAATTCACAGGGACTTCCCCTCTAGGGCTAATATTAAAATACAATTACTAACAAGTGAAGCTGGTTAAGAAAAACAGGAGCTGCTTGTAAGATGGTGAGTTCACTGTCTGCCTGCAAATCTTTTAATTGAAGCTGGATAATCACTCTTCATGGATTCAGTAGGATTAATACACTGGGTGAAATACTGGGCTCAACAACCTCTAAATTTCTCGGAGTGCGTGCTTCAATTTATACAGATTGTGTAAACTCCGAGATATTCAATTGAAATGAAGTCTTCAGTGCAAACCTAGAACTTAAATTTCCCTTTGTTTGAATCCTACAAATGTGAAAACGAAAAGTGTACACCTTGTAAATCAGATTTGGTAAAGGCTAAACGTCTATTTCAACAGAAAGTATTTGGTAAAATCTTCACATTAAAGTGAGAAATCACTCAAAAATTTTAAAAGCTCATTTTAGATACATCTAACATGTAGAGTTTTTAGGGTAGTTGAAAAATAAAATGGATCCATGAAAATTTTCTTTATAATCAGCTATGGTAAGTGGGAATATATAGGAATAGAAAAATCACAAAATTACATCAGCATAAAATTCTACATAGCCAACTTCCAGGTAAAACATCATTTCTATCAAAGGCATCATTTATTATACCAAAATTTCACTGTAGATAGGTGATTCCCGTAAAATCAAGAAAAAAGTGAGTTGTGGGCAGGGAGAAGGGGATGGTGGTGTCAGTAATCAAGTTATAACCATTTCTGTTTGGAAGTTCTTGACTTTAAAATCTACGTTCACATTACCACCAGAACCACTATGAATAAGGGACAATCATGCACCATTAAGAGTCCCATTATTGAACAGGTAAGACTGCTAATTACTATGTATTTTGAATGTGGAAGGAAATATTCTATTTGAAAAGAATCAGCTTTCATAATCTTTATTTTCATTACCTTGGAGGGTACAGGAAGTGTGGAAGGAAAAGTCCAACATGCTGTTTTAGCAGATTAGCAAACAGTCAAATTTAGGAATCTTGTTCTTGTGCTTCTTGAATGCAGGTGACTTTTACTCATCTTTTAGCCCCATTACTGAGTACAACAGTATTTCTAACTTCACTCGTCTCAATCATGCTAAAAAGAATGGAATGAGATTATATGGAAACACAATTAGCAAAAAAATACTAAGCATGCATATTTTTAAGTCTACAATAATATAGCCATTTCTGCTGCTTAGCAGTGTAGTTTAACAAATGTTTCAGTATATGGTGAGAAAAATGATTTAGGAATGCTGAGTTGTGTGTTTAAGGAAATCTGTGAAGTCTGTTTAGCAGATAAGCATATAAATTGTATTGATAACTAAGCAATTCAGTGATATGGCTACAAGCTACAATAATATGGCTATAAAAGGTGAGATAGTTTGGGTTACAGATGCCAGCGAATAGCTACAATATTTTTTCCTTAATATTCCTGCAATACACACTAAATGTCTTTGCCTCCTATGAGGAAAAAAAAAACCCATAGGATTACACAAAATTTGGCCAGTTAGTTAACAATGGTAAAATAAAGCTACATTTCAGTAATTAAGAACTTTTACCAGTAAAAGAGTTCAAAATTTTAGAACGTCTATATGTATGATGTGGCAATCCATAGAAACAAGGGGAACCAGATGTCAGCAAAATAAATGCTTGTTCTAATAATTTGAACCCCAAGATTTGGAAAGACAGAGTGATTCTATGACTAATAAACAAAATAACCGTAGTGACCTCCCATAGGATGTGTCCATTTAGTCCCTAATAATGATGTTAGATTTAAATTATTTTAAGTCTATTAGGCCAGACCCCAGGTCTCAACAATTAATTCCTGACCTCAATAATGCCATTTACCATTTTGCTTTTGCTATTGTTGATTATATCAATATTAAAATTTTAGTAACTCATGATCTCGATGTTTGTCATTTTATTATGAAACAGAGACAGTGGGAACCTAGTTTGATATGCATTGTGAAACACCTGACAACCTGTCACATGTTTAGCACTGTGAAAATGAAATCCAAGTTTAGTTACTCTTCAGGCACATGAAGGGCTTTTTAAATAATACTTTCAAAATTCTATTTTGTCTTCAACACAAAGGTCTTTCCTCAAGGCAATGTTTCCTAAATGGTGTTCTATAAAATTCCAATGCCATTAAATTCTCTTCATAAATGACATGTGTAATCAAATAAGTTTGGAACTTTCTGAACTTAGGCATTGCCTAAAGAGACGGTAGACCGGAGGCTAGCGCCTGTCCAAAGCTACGTAACATTTTATGAGTGTATTAATAATGATGGATGAGAAGGGTGCATATATTTAATAAGAAGAAACCATTTTGCCTTTATAAATCTTAGGAATGTGCACTAATTTAGGCAATATATTCATATGACTAAAGACCTGCAGAACAGAGCAATAATACATGCAGATTAAATTTTTTGATTCCACATTTTATGAAGAAAAGGGCCTAACAATAATACTAAAAAAAACACAAGTGATTTGTCCTCACACTACACATTAACTCAAAATATTATGCATTATTAAAAAATTAAGATTATTTAATAAAGTTACCCATTCACCTCTCCAAAGAATGCATTTACGCCACAATACATAACAATTAAAATCTACAAACCCCTCACTTACCTTAAGTAAATTCTCAGACAGAATATGACTTTTAACTGGGTAATCGTGGTAGAAAATATGCTATTAAGTGTAATAGTAGAAATCAGTTCTGGTCACCTTTAAAATAATGAATGTTAGGGGAACTGTGGAAATAAATTACATTATCTCCTCATATAATGGGCTTATTCTGGGAATGCTGAAATCCCTTTCATTTCCATGGACTATACCTTTCACCAGAAGAAAAGTGACACAGTTCCCCTTTCTCATTCTGTTGAACACTACTTCTTACCCTTACTAACAGTTGACTTGAGATAACTTGAATAACTAAGGAAAAGAATCAAGCAGAGTCTTAAGAAAATGACAGGGTTATTTTTACACAGTACAAGGCAAATAAGGTAACTTAAAAATCGACTCAGGATATTTCTTTTTTGTATTTATGAAAAATATCTAACGATATTTTTTTCATTAAAAAACTAAGATATCTATCAAAATTTAAAATAAATTCAGGAAAAACTAAGAGCTTACTTAAAGAGGATAAATGCAAATTTAGACACTTTTGGTGGTCTACCCAGAATATTGAATTGCATGACAAATGATTTTTGCTGCTGTTGTCTAATTTTTTTAGTTTTTGTTCAAAGTAAATGCTGAAATGCTTTGGTCAGAAGCAAAAGAGAATTCCCATAAAAAGATGTTATTTAGGTAGTATCAGGGTGCTTCCTACCTTCAGTAAATACTTTCATAAGTGCCTACAATTCTTCTGTTATATGAGAAGTACAATGCTGTACAATGAAATCTCCACGTTGTATTTAGACCTAAAGGTTACAGGCCGGGGGTGGTAAAGCAACCAGCCAGTTCCTTAGGCATCACGCTGTTGCTTGTCCTTTTTGCTTTCCTTTGTCAGTCTGGCTTCTGGCAACTGTTAGGTTCCCGTGACCATTATTTGTAGTGTCCCCTTCCAGGAAAACTGAAGGGCATTTCAAGGAACAGTCACTACTAGGTCCTGGGCAGAGCCAATGCCAAGATCCAACAGAGGCAAGTCATGGACCAGAAACCAGGCCAGAGTCCAAGCTGAGGCGACAAGCAGGCTTCAACAGGTGCATCTTTTTAGACTCTTTAGCACTTGAGAGTTCACAGGACAAATCCACATCATGTGAGCAAGGTGAAGCCCAGCGGGCACGGGGGTCAGCTACAGTGTCTTTATGTCAGTGAAGACACTGTTTCAGCAACGAGCCAAAGGCAGATTTCTGCAACAATGGCAACACCATCTATGATACTCCAAGAGCAGGAATAGTCACCAAAGATAAGAATGCCTGATAACTTTGCCTGTACCATTACTGGCGCAATTGTGTGACTCCACAGTATGTCGGTTTCACAGAGGCAGCAAACTCAGCATCTGAATGTTTGCCAGTGTTGGCACACACTTCTCTCCATCTACCTGCTTTCACCCCATCAGGAAACCCCTCACATAAGAGATGGTAAAGAGAAAATAAAAAAGGTAAAAGTCAATGTCAAATGAAGGAGAAAGTTTTTATTTGTGATCACTGGCATATTTGAAACAAAAATTATACTAAAAAATGGAGAGATTATGGAGTTGGTTTTTTTTTTTCAATTTTCAGATTTCTAGGAATTTCAGAGCCTTCCCAGGAATGTAGAAAGGAGATGGCTGCTTAGGCAAAGAATATAAAATTTTTTAAAACTGACGCCTTTTAATAACATGGAGAACACATCAGAACCACTTCCTTTGAAACTATGAATGATTTGATTACAAAAGATGGTCCTTTTCAGGAGCCAATTTACTACCGTCCATGTAAAAACTTTTCTCACCCTAACAGACCTAATGATATCCGGGGATATCATATTTTAATTCAGGATTAATTAATAATCCTTAAAAGGATTATTGGTCATAATCCTAGCATGTTTTCAACTTTCAATCTCTATAGAAGAATCTCTCTGCATACAGGAATACCTCATTTGAAAAACTTCTCTTTGTTTGAAGTATGGGCCTTACACTCTTACTTTTAGTAAACTACAACTTAAATCCTATAGATTGTCTAAAAAATAGATGGTTTATGCTCCTAGTCTTCCATAAAAGTGTTCATTTAACAATGGAGCATTTCCTGCTTTCCCCATCAACTCTCTCTCATAAAACCCTATTCAGTCGGTAGCGATAATACCTGGTCATTTTCCCACATCTCCTGGATTGGATCCCTTTTTGGAGTCAAGGAAGGGATATTTTAATTGCAATGCACAAATTATATTCTCTTGTCAACTATAAAGAAAAGTCCCACTCACATTGTGAGAGTGTTAGACACAACAAAGCCTTGATAAACAAGACACACCGTTCCACTCAACGGCCTCACATTTGAAACGTGTAGTATCTCAACCATGTGTTTTGCAGTTCTGTTTTACTATGAAAGAAACCCATTTTTAAACATTAATGCTGAAATTTCAGCTGAATGTACCCGTTCCTATTACAAGGCTATGGTTAAGAGCTAAATTGCTTATAACGGAGGGACCTCCCAAATCCCTCTGAAATGGGCTTCAGATTTTATTCACTCTTATGTTGAATTTCAAATCATAATGAAGTTCTGGTATTTTAACGAACCAATTATTACTAAGATTTTTTAAATGTGAATAGTTTTTCTTATTAAGGTATAATTGCAGCCGAATGTACCTGTTTAATAAAACACAATCAAGTACTCAAAAAAGAGTTAAACACCACCCATCTCTTATTTGCTTCGGCATATAACAAGCGCACATGTTAAAAAACAGCAGGAAGTACAACCATGTGAAGGGTCTGTGGGTGTTCACTGTATTATTGTGGCGACTTTTCTATGTTTGAAAATTTTCAAAATAAAACAACATACAGGGCCAGCCCCGGTGGCCTAGTGCTTAAGTGCAGCACACTGTGCTTTGGTGGCCCGGGTTCAGCTCCCAGGCGCTCCTACACTGCTCTGTTAGCAGCCATGCTGTCCTGGTGGCCCACATACTAAAAAATAGAGGAAGATTGCCATGGATGTTAATGTTAGACCAGGACAAATCTTCCTCAGCCAAAAAAAAAAACAAAAAGCAAAAAAAAACCAGTAAAACAATACTCAAAACCCAATTATTTAAACATAGCCCGAATTCAACAGCGTCATCCACGTCTACTTGATTTCTTGGTACTAACATCAGTCCCAACATACACAGTTCATAGAGTAGACATTTTGGAAAGGATTATGAATGTGTGCTCTGGTCTGAATGTTTGTGGCCCCCCAGTTCACACGCTGAAATTCTAATGCACAATGTGATGGTGTTAGGAGGTGGGGCCTTTGTGAGGTACTTGGGTCAGGATGGGGGACCCCTCATGAACAGGATTACTGCTCTTCTAAAGGAGATCCCCCAGGGCTCCCTTCCTCCCTGTGAGGATACAGCTAGAAGTCTGCAACCCAGAAGAAGCCCCTCACCCAAGATGCCGGCACCCTGATCTCGGACTTCCAGCTCCCAGCACCGTGAGAAGTAAATTTCTGTTGTCTACAAGCTATCCTGTCTGTGGTACTTTGTTACAGCAGCCTGAGCAGACTGAGTCAATGTGGAAGAGGGACAAAATAAAATTTTGCCAATGTTTTTCTCGTCCTTTTAAATTTGTCTTTTGTTTTTTGAGAAAGACTTCCAGGTGCAGTTTGAAATTTAAAAATATGATTTTTTTAAAATTAGCACATTTTAAAAGGACAGAATCCTAAGTAGTTCTTTGTTGTCTTCCCCATAATCTCCCTTTTCTATAAAACACGTGTGAAAAGGGAGGATACTCCCCTACCTGGGAAGACCACATGGAATAGAGGGAAAACGTGGATTTTGGAAATAGAGCTTTGTTACCTAACCCGCCTGAGACGTCAGATGGTTCCTTTGCATCCTGAATCAGTGATAACGATGCCCAGTTATAGGGCTGCTGAGGTCCTATGTGTGTGAGGTGATACACAGAGAGCCCCAGGGCCACATCTCTCAGCACCAAGGATGTTATCTGCCTTCTCTTTCCCCTTTTCCAATTCCAAAACTCTGAGTGTGTAACTCCTTTTGAAAAGCCTTAGAGAGAGAATACTAAAAAATTACATTTTCAAGTTTAGAGATTTTAGACCACAACTCAATATCTGAATGTATAGCTAAGGAGGCATTAGTATTATTGCTTCAAGACAGAAAAGAATAAAATAAGAGGCCTAAGAAAAAGGGAAATAATTTTAAAGAGCGTATAGACTATAAAAGTTGGATGAGACATTCATTCTTAAATGAAAGTCGTAAACCAAATATGTATAATAATTTTGATCATAAATACTGAAGTATCTCAATGAACAGTAGTAATTAGGCTTTTAAGCATTTAAAATAATGTATTTTTTTTAAAATTGGTGATACATCTATAGACGTGTCTCTTCCCTTTTTTGGAACATTTGAAAACAAACATAGATAATGGGCCCAGGTATCTTACTGAGATAGAGGAACAAATCTATGTTATTGATAAAAATAAAATTCAAAAACAATACAGATTTGCAAGTCTCCTCACTGAAGTATTTTTTTCTTAAATGAACAGTGTATATTACTTAGAAAATTAATGATAAAAACAGGAAATGGTTTTTAGATGAGCTTTAGATCTGATGTCTGTAACCCCTCCTGTGTGTAACTAATGTTCTCAGGGCACAAGTGGCCAGGTGACTCTCCACAGAGATGCTAATGTGGCCCACTGGACGGACTTACATTTTGTTATACTCCTTGCGGCTTCTTCTGAATCATTCACCTTTTCCTATCTACTTATTATTTTGCGATATCCATTAGTGATATGCAAATATTTCTGCAGTATCTGCCGCTTTTGAAATTCAGAAAAAGAAACTGGTATTAAGTTGCACTGATTCTTTCTCTTTCCTCTTAAAGAGGCCATTTCTTTAGGAAAGTGCATTCAAGCACTTTATTGCATACTGAGGACACCATGAATACAAGGTAGGGATGCTAAAGAAAAACAAGGGAAAAAAAGGACATTACAAACAGTTGAACATTAAAAGGCAAAAAAAAGAGAGAAAAAGAGTTGTGGACAGAAAGAAAGGGTAAAGAAAGTTCTGGTCCAATAAAATAGCAGTATTTTCAATAAAAATTTGCAGGAACATTTGTAACAAGAACAGACTCAATTTTTATAAAAATATGGCACAATGCTTGTAACAGAAAAGAATTAAGTTACATAATAGAACAAATCGGCAAATTCACTTGGTTTACATTTCTGAAAGTCCATTCCTAACTACATTCTGGCTCCAAAAGTTTCTCTTTTTATAAAAGTCAATTTCTTGCTCATATTGGGTAAAGCGGATCTATTTACTAGTATTGTGCTCTTAAGGCAATTATTTGTTCCATCTGTTCCTTAGCGTTCTCTTCTATAAAATGGGAATAATAACATCTACTTCATGGGGCGCATGTAAGTTTCTAATGAGATAAGTTATGAAAAGTTCTGGCACGATCCTGGCACTTAGCTGTATGCTCAATATCTAGTATTTTTTATTATAACTAGTGATTAGCAAAAATTATTAATGTATGTCCAGTATGCACGTACTTTATGAAGGTAGAGATAACATGGGAGAAAAAAAACATTTTCTGTCCTCAACAAAAATAACCAATTTTATCAAATGAATAAATGTTCTAGATGGACACATGGACTACATTTTAATATCACAGATTATTGAATAAAACAAAAATCTTATTTTTAAATAGTTCACCAATTGATCCAAATGTCTTACCGAGTTTAAGAATCACTGTTCTAGATGAATACTTACAAAAAGTACCCTCACAGGCAGGGGCTGGCCTTGGGGCACAGCGGTCAAGTTCCCGTGCTCTGCTTCTGCGGCCCGGGGTTCCCCAGGTCAGATCCCCGGTGCAGACGTATGCACCACTTATCAAGCCATGCTGTGGCAGGCGTCCCACATATAAAATGGAGAAAGATGGGCACAGATGTTAGCTCAGGGCTAATCTTCCTCAAAAAGAAAAAGTACCTTCCTAGACAAATGGTTATATTATATGAATTACATACAGTAATATGACCCTTATACTTCTGCAGACTTCTGTTTTTATCCATGTTTGCTGTTGCTTTTGAGTTTTACGGCACTTACAATGACCATCTCCTCTTTTCACTTAAAGACTACCCATCTCTCAGCTGCAAAGCCTTTCCACTTCTTTCATAAAAGCCTTCTTGGTTCCTCTATCACACAGTAAAGTCTCCTTCTTCTGAAATTCTAGAGCAGAAGTCAACACATATTTTTCTCTAAAGTGCCAGATACTAAATATTCTAGGCTTTGTAGACTAAGTCACAAGTATCCAATTCTGCCCTTCAGCAGGAAAGCGGCCACAGAAAATATAGAAACAAATAAGTGTGGCTGTATTCCAGTACTTTACTTATGCAAACAGGCATAGGGCTGGATGCGGCCCAAGGGCTACAGTTTGTCAACCGCTGTCCTAGATGATCACTGCT